GTTTGTGTGGCAGTAGTCAAGTAATTGGGTTTCATTCACACAGCAGGGAAACATATAATCCACATCCAACATTTTGGCCACAGTAGAGCAGGCCCCAAAAAATTCAACCTGTGCCACTTCCACAATGTGTTTGGAGTAGTTTTTGAAGCATCTGCAATCTGAAAGGACATGACATTGTTTTTCTTTATTCTTCCTTTTTTGTTATTGATTTGAGACATTCATCATAATTCTGTGCCAGAAAAAGCCAGATGTGGTAAATCAGGATGTTAACACTTACTCAAAATTATGATTATAAATTTATGAAAGATTAATGTCAGTAAAGCACATCATGTTACAATTAGTTTTTCCAATCATATTTCTGGTTTTATTAACTTCTTTTGTGATTTGATCTTTTGATGTTAGGGTTTCCTCCCAGTAACAAAATCCAAACATACTGAAAACTGTAAAACTCTCCATCCATAACTCCTTTCATAAATAGAGCGTTGCTCTGTGGATGTAAAATGACTCATTGTGGTCAGGGTTAATTGGCAACATGAACAAGTATGCAAAGAAAATCAGAATTGAGCATTTAGACGTGCCGTGTGAATGTAGCTTCAGTCATTAGCCATGTTAGCTGGCTAATGAGCTAGCGCAGGTGGGATATGTTGTAATGCCAGGATCTGAAAATTCCTTCCCAATTCATTTTGGTTTTGGACTTGATTTCACAAAGCTTCATAAAGCCTCACAAAGCTTCATAAAGCCTCACAAAGCCTCACAAAGCTTCATAAAGCCTCACAAAGCTTCATAAAGCCTCACAAAGCCTCATAAAGCCTCACAAAGCTTCATAAAGCCTCACAAAGCTTCATAAAGCCTCACAAAGCTTCATAAAGCTTCATAAAGCCTCACAAAGCTTCATAAAGCCTCACAAAGCCTCATAAAGCCTCACAAAGCTTCATAAAGCCTCACAAAGCCTCACAAAGCTTCATAAAGCCTCACAAAGCTTCATAAAGCCTCAAAGCCTCACAAAGCTTCATAAAGCCTCACAAAGCCTCATAAAGCCTCACAAAGCTTCATAAAGCCTCATAAAGCCTCATAAAGCCTCACAAAGCTTCATAAAGCCTCATAAAGCCTCACAAAGCCTCATAAAGCCTCATAAAGCCTCACAAAGCTTCATAAAGCCTCACAAAGCCTCATAAAGCTTCATAAAGCCTCACAAAGCCTCATAAAGCCTCACAAAGCTTCATAAAGCCTCACAAAGCTTCATAAAGCCTCACAAAGCTTCATAAAGCCTCATAAAGCCTCACAAAGCTTCATAAAGCCTCACAAAGCCTCATAAAGCCTCATAAAGCTTCATAAAGCCTCACAAAGCTTCATAAAGCCTCACAAAGCTTCATAAAGCCTCATAAAGCCTCACAAAGCTTCATAAAGCCTCATAAAGCCTCACAAAGCTTCATAAAGCCTCACAAAGCTTCATAAAGCCTCATAAAGCCTCACAAAGCTTCATAAAGCCTCACAAAGCCTCACAAAGCTTCATAAAGCCTCACAAAGCTTCATAAAGCCTCACAAAGCTTCATAAAGCCTCACAAAGCTTCATAAAGCCTCACAAAGCCTCATAAAGCCTCACAAAGCTTCATAAAGCCTCACAAAGCCTCATAAAGCTTCATAAAGCCTCACAAAGCTTCATAAAGCCTCACAAAGCTTCATAAAGCCTCACAAAGCTTCATAAAGCCTCATAAAGCCTCACAAAGCTTCATAAAGCCTCATAAAGCCTCACAAAGCTTCATAAAGCCTCACAAAGCCTCATAAAGCCTCACAAAGCTTCATAAAGCCTCATAAAGCCTCACAAAGCCTCACAAAGCCTCACAAAGCTTCATAAAGCCTCATAAAGCCTCACAAAGCTTCATAAAGCCTCATAAAGCCTCACAAAGCCTCACAAAGCCTCATAAAGGTCAGACTCTCTGGTCAGATTGTTTTTAGTACAACTCTACAGATTCACACTTTAGATCATTTAAAAGTTGGGTTACTTTATAATGACCAGAGGTTCACACTATTCCAGGATGTTGCTGAAACTTGCATTAAGAGTCACTTGGGGGAGTCACCATATCAATATTTTATATATGTATATTTTTATGACTAAAACTAAATAATTTATGTAGCTGAAAAGGATATTTATATTTCACAGTTATGATTCTGGGGTATTTCATGATGTTGTTGTTCACTTCAGTTTAGATCAAACCTTTTCACTTTATCCCTTTCATTTGATCATGAATCTCTTTTCATTCAAATATTTGGCTTTAGTGAATTCAAATGGTTTGTTCACCCAACCAAAGAAAATGGATCCACAGAATGAAATCATGTTACCACTCAACATAATACTGGATAGAGACATAGCTAGATATTTATGCACATAATGATAGATAATAAAGTTGTGACTACATTGTAACATTGTTGGTTTTGTGGATCTATTGTTTTGTAAGTGAGCAGAGAGGTTTGCAAATGAATTGAGTCAAGCAAAGACAAGGTTTCAGTGCAAAGGTTTGAGAAAGCACAGTGCCACAGACATGAAGTCCTGCTTTCAAAGTGAAAATGTTTGCTCTCAAATTATGGCAGAAAAATTCCTCCATACAGTTCTGCTTCTAGCCTTTTCATTTTGGGATCACAAGAATAACTTCTGTCTTCTGGAGACATTTCTGACGATTCCCTCATAGTTTAGACACAACAACCCAGGTACTAGTGGGTTTTGGTCAATAACAGAAAATGAACATAGTAGTTTCTAGGTGTTGTGTGAGATGGTGTAAGCCAGGGGTGCTCAAACTTTTTGAGACCAAGATCTACTTTTTCTCTCATCAGCCGGCTGAGATCTACCTCATGACATGAAGACATACAAATTATAAATGAAACCCTATTGACTCATTTTCTATGCAAATATAGATCAGAAATGATAAAGTGATAGAAAACCTCATGCAGTTTCTTCCTCAGTGAGATTCTGACACTGGGAGCAGGTTACTGGTTTCTCAGTCAGAAGCTGGTTGTAAACCTGAGGCCAGCAGGTGTCAGTCAGTTATGGTGGATCTGAAATTTGGTTTGATGACGTCACTATGAGAAACTGCAGACTGATAGGAGGAACCAAAGAGCAACCAAAGGCAAATCTTCTGAATTTGGGATATAATTAATGTAATTTGACACAATTATTGTGGAAGCCATTTGTTGTTAAAACTTAATCAAATATATTTGTCCTATTTGATGTTGGTTGTGACGTTTACTGCAAACGAACGAGGTCATTAGTCCAAGTCTGTCGTTTATTGAACGTTCAGAAACTCCAGCGACTGTGATGAAGCACAGCGAAGGAAAACAAAGGTAAAATAACCCGAACAACTCAGAACCTCTCGCACCTTTTTACTCTCTCTCTCTTTATCGTTAAGCACACCCGTTGCTGTGGCAACCGCCTGCGCCCCGCAAGCCGAGCAAAGATTACGTTAAAAACGTTCAGTCCGTTACGATATCAGGTTTCAGGCTTTATTATTATTTAATGAAGCTACAAACGTTTTGGATCTTAGTGAATATTTTTGATAAGTCTGTCAGAAGAGGAAGTGCTGCTCTCAGCGTCCTGCAGAGATCCACTCAAAACCTCCCCGCGATCAACCGGTAGATCGCGATCGACCGGTAGATCGCGATCGACCGGTAGATCGCGATCTACCGGTCGATCGCGATCTACCGGTAGATCGCAATCGACTGGTAGATCGCAATCGACGTTTTGGGCACCCCTGGTGTAAGCTAATGAAAATCAGTAGATAATGCAGCCTTGAGGTTAGGCTGCATTATCTCATTGTTTCCTTGATTGAAAATGACTGACATTATGTCACCTCCACCTGTTATACAAGATCTGAACATGTTCATCAAACCAAAGTATTCCTTGAAGACTCCACTGAGGAGTGTGAATCTCACTTTTTTCTTAATGATCTTCTCATTGGTACTACATGCTCTGATGTCGTTTAGCACTTTGACTCTGTAAGTTCATCTTTTTATATCTGGAAATCCCATCAATCCACTCCCATTTCATCTGTTTTTAAGATCTTCAATACCTGTGCATTGTGTGTTTTTCAGATTCTAAATACCATTTTGGAGATTTGGATTGTACCTTCAGCTTTAATCATGCCATCGCAACGCAGCATAGTCGACATTTCTCCTTACATGATCATTTTAGGCCACTAACTAAGCTCCTCTTTCTCCTTAAAATCTTTTAGAAATGCTGCATTAAGTGAAGTCACTTCAGATGAAAACAGCATCTTTAAAGTGTTTAGTCCTAACTTCATTTTCAGCATCACTGCTCACAGAATATTTCTAATTCTGGCAATATTCTAGAAAAGAAAAAAGGAAATGGGTTGTAAATGTCAAGAATAAACACAGAGGTTCAATACCTTAAGGATCAAAAGACCTTTTAAATCTAAACCAGAATATCAAACCAGAACTAGAGGCCAAAGGATAATTACAAAGAAATTATCTTTTGAACATGCAAATGAAGCAACAATGTAACGTAAAACTACAACTAATTTCATTGATTGGCATCCAAAGTCCTTTCATTTAATAACCCTATATAATTATTTCAAAGTTTACTTTCTACTTGATTTGATGTCTTCCACATTTTATCTTGCCATTCTTCATGTAGTTCTGTATTTTTGCAGCTTGTGGGGAACTTACCGGGATATCAGAACCTATTACAATTAAAACATCTGGGTCCAGATTTGGTTCGTGGATGACCGACCCCCTGGCTTCAGCTGGAGACAACAGAGTAAGTTTCACAAGAACAGAAACCACCAAAACAACAGAGGACATTTTGTCTTGCTGTCACTCTTTTAGCATTGGAAATGTGATGTGTTGAATATTTAAATTAGCTTTATCTCAAAAGCCAGTTGTGAACAATTCATTTCCAATTTATTGATCACAATACAAGTGCATTCATTCCATCTCCTGTTGTTAATCTGAAAGACGATAAATAAAGTTGGCATAAGTGAAAGTATGGTGAGAGTATAAAATGAAGTTCACACAATGATCCAACCTGCCAAAGCATTTCACTCCTGGTGAAGTCGATTCTTCATCAAACCCAGAATTTGTGTCCATGGTCAATAATTCAAAGATGATGTAAACAGTTAAATAGCTTTTTCTGCTCATTTCTCTCACAGGTGTGGTACATGGATGGTTATCACAACAATCGCTTTGTCAGGGAGTACCAGTCCATGTATGACTTCATGACAACAGATAATTTTACGTCCCATCGCCTGCCTCATCCGTGGTCCGGTACTGGCCAAGTTGTTTATAATGGATCCATTTATTATAACAAGTTTCAGAGTCACACCATCATTAAATTTGACTTTAGCACATCTCTCATTAGCCGCTCCAGACAGCTTGACGATGCCGGTTTCCAAAACTCGTACCATTACTCATGGGGAGGTGCCTCTGATATCGACCTCATGGTGGACGAGGGGGGGCTCTGGGCCGTGTATGCAACCAATCAAAATGCTGGCAACATTGTGCTGAGCAAATTAAATCCAAACACTCTTCAAATAATCCGCAGTTGGACCACCAACCACCCAAAGCGAAGTGCCGGTGAGGCCTTCATGATCTGCGGAACATTGTATGTCACCAACGGTTACTCTGGAGGAACTAAGGTGTACTACGCCTTCTCTACCAACTCCTCCACCTACGAGTACATTGACATCCCTCTGACCAACAAATACAGGCACTTGTCCATGCTCGATTACAACCCTAAAGACAGAGCACTTTATGCCTGGAACAACGGCCACCAAGTTCTGTATAATGTAACTCTTCATCACATAATACAGTAGCTGGACATTGTTCCTCTGTGTCACAGCTCAATATGATATGATTCTCACATAAGACTCTACATTTCCTTTCACAATTGTAAGACAAAATCAATCATTCAGATAATTAATGTGCTTCCAGGGAAAACAGGATGACTGACTGAAACTGTTATTCACAGCTGAAGTGAATCATAAAACAGACTGTTCCTCACTGCAACCTGTCTGGACACAGAGTTTCAGACGTGTTTCTTAGCTTGAGACACTGTGACACTAAGGTGTGGACAAATAAAAAACAGCACTCTTAAAACTATGAAAGTCCTGAACTATTTTGTGAATTTTACCCAGACCTTTCTCTTTTCATTCATAAGTCATATAAACCGTAATGCTGGTCTGGAAATTATTAATCAAGCTGTTAAAATCATTTCTATTCTCAAAAACTGCTGCAAAAATACTTTTTTAAGGAACCAAAACATAATGAAAGTGTTTCTAGTTTAAGAAACCAACCAGATATTCCTTGTTTTTATAATTCCCCAAGTCCAGAAATTTCCTTGGTACTGAAAATATGGAACAAAATGCTGAACTGTTAACTTTTAGAGCTTAAAATGTAACTTTATTGTTAAAGACTTTAGGAAACGGACTGATTTGTTTTCCTCAAACATTTCCTTTTAGACCCTAATGTTAATTGCTTTCTAAATTACAAATTGTTTGAATAAATGTATTTTCTTTGGATTGTTTGTATTTTTTCAGAATGTATAACTTTCGGATTCCAATTCAAAATGGAATGTTGTGATTTTTTTTAAAGTAACATATCAAACAGCAATAGTTATTAAAGTTCTGTTTTGCAAAAAAAGTATTGTTAGAACGTTTTGTAGGATAAGCAGAAGTTTGTAACTTTTTGTATGACTTTCTGTGCTTCTATCAGCTAAGTTTGTAAAACATCATTTCTACTGAAATATAAACCCTTTTTTGCTGAATAACAAAAATCAACATTTATTGAAATTATGGTGATATGCTATGGTGTGTTTCCTCTTCTTTTTTTTTACATACAAGCAGATTTTTTTATAGTCATATATTGGCTTGTGAAATGATTTAGTTTATTTTGTTGTTTGGTGCCATGTAAAGTAATCCAAATGGATCCATTAATTCTACATATGGTTAGCAGTTTGACTGTTTATTCTGTTGGTTTGTGTAAATTTTGTGTAAATATTAATACAAGTCAAGAATCGACATGAACATTTTCACTGTTTTGTGTAGATTACGCAAATAAAAGTGGGAACTGTGTGGACTGAGGAGTTTCTGGCTTTTATTGATATGGGAGCAAAAATCACTAAGAAGGAAGAACCACAAATAATGATTGGAATCGGATCAAGAACTGCAAAATTCTTCACAAGCTGCAAATGGTCTAACAAGTGATCCACCAAGTGACATGGATGAAGGATTATTTCCACTGCCGGTTCACCAAAATGTTGAGAATAGCTTTGCTGTCAGGCTGGTTCATTAAAACCAAACAAGTTTAAATACTGAATTGTGGACAAAGAGGGTAAAACAGTGGGAGCTGGTTGGGCTCAGACATTTGGGGCCATTTCCATTTTATTTCCTGCTCATAATCCCTTTCAACACTTAAACTCTGTTTCTGTCAGAGACGTCAGTCATGTCAAGGCAGATTCCAGCTGGGGCTTTTATTTTGAAATAGCTTCAGAGCAAAAGTAAACATTGACTTTTAAGAATTAGATTAAAACAAATGTAATCAGGTAAGTTCACTTAAAATGTCCAATTCTTTGTTCAGCACAAAATCACTTGTCGAATGGCAAATCATTGGCTGTGAAGCATTCAGACATATTTTCTTCACAAAGGGCCTGAAGGACGTTGCAGGAAGAGCAGCTTCCCTGCAGCTTTCAACATATTTAGTTGCAACTTATCCATTCAAGTTCATGAATGTGCTTCTCTGGTAGTTTACAAGCTGGTTGCAGTTACAGACATGTGAGCTTGATAAACATTGGTTAGCATTTTGAAGATGTGGAGGATCAGCGTTCCATCAGGTTTTGGGATTCTGAAGGTAGAACATCTTCAGCTTCTTCCTCTCATTGAGGATGAGGAGTTTCTGCAGTTCTGCACTGAGCTGAGAGTCAGGTGGATAAAGTTGGAGAACAAAAACAGTCAATTTAATCCGTTCACGATCAAGAAAATGTTGAATGTGTTTTTGATTCCAAATGTTTTATCTACATTTGGTGAAAAGAGTCTTGACGGTGTTTCCCGTTTCAGCCACATCTGCAGGTTTAACATCGAAACACAGGGTTTGATTTTAGAGTTTCCATATTCATGCATTTTGTTAACTGTGTTAAATTTGTTTTTAATCCAAGATAGTTGTTAGAGAAATTCTTCCTGACCCTTGACCTTTTTAACTGTTTAACCCAGGCATGCACCAAATAGTGTTTTATGTTTTCATTCCTTCTGTAGACTTTAATAATTCCTTCATTTGGTAAGTGAGCAGTTTGATTGGAACTTGATCTTGTAAAGGAGCTGGCCGGCAGAGGATCAACATGTCGTGATAAGAGGGCGAGTAGCAGAGCTCTCCGCTTGGCTGGACTCCAGGAAAGAAGCTCTGCATCCCCTCAGGAAGGTCCTGGAGTTTCTCCTCCCTGAAATCTGCAGAGGAAATGAAGTGGAATCTTAGTAACTGTGATTTAATTAGGCCTGCCTAGGTGTGCTTGGGTTATAACTTGGGTTATAAACTTGTAAACAGACTAACATCAAGTTTATGTTTGGCCTTGAATTGAGTCTTTCTGTGGTGGTTTCTAAAATGTCTACAGCTTTAATGCTGGTGGTTCAATGTGTGAGTGAAATGATTAAAATCTTCCTCTGAGTGAGTTCTGATGTCCAGATGTCGTCCAGGTATCTGAAGTAGAAGACGGTTTCTTTGATGCATTTCCTGAATGCCTGTTTGCCACTGAGCCATGAAGATGTTTGCATAACTTCTTCTTCTTGTTAGTGTTAGTTAGATCTGGACTTAAAACAAATATTCCCCAAATTGATTTGTGAAACTTAGGGTAGCTACTTAGCTGTTCTACAGATAAGCAGGAAATATTTATATTGTCAATGGAGTTAAAGCCCTCAGATATATTAATGTTAGTATTTCTAGAATCTTCTGTTCTGGTGAACAGAAGAAACTCGTCCTTTTTAGGGTCAGGCATATAGGAAGAAAACCAGAAAATGACTTTGCTCACTTGAAGTAACTCAAAAATTTATAACTGGAAGTGATTTATGAGAGCGGCCCCCCATACCCACCGAGTTTGGGGGGCGTGGCTTATGCCCTTCACGTAGCTACCATTGATTCCTAATTCATTTCAATAATTGCTCACTCAAAGTATCTCAAAAATTATTTTATGGAATGTGCTGATACTCACACTGCTGCTGCTTACCTCACCATGTCACACAAGACTGACAGTCAAACAAGAAAGAAAGTGAATAAGTCCCTTTAAAGAGGGAACAGAATGAGGAGAAGAGTAAAAGCTGAACTTGCTCCACAATCTTTGCTTCACTTCTGGTCACCCATAAGGTGAGCAAAGTGATGCCCAGTGCTGGATGGTGAATGTTACTCTGTTTCTGTTCTATTTGTATGATTACATTTTTGTAACATTTGATCATTTTCAGCATTGAAGCCTGTTTTATACTGAACCAAATCTCATCATTTCTCAAGCAAATGATGCTGATTGGTGCTGCTCAGGTCCTGAAACTGTTAAATGGACCTGGTGGTGCATAGAAGGGAAAATCAGTGAACAACAATAAGTTCTCATTTTCCAAACATGATCCAAAAACTCCCTCCAATTCTCTGCAGGTCCCCACCTCATTTGGTGGTCCTATCCCACTCCTTTCATGTAGCTGCCATAGATTGTCATTCATTTTTAAATCTAGTCAAAGTCTGGCTGGGAATCTCCTATCAAGCTGGGACTTCACCATATCCTCAGTTTCTCTTCCCTCAATGTAACCAGATTTGAAAATATTTTAATGTTGTTTGAGCTCCATTTTTAAATAAATCAGCTCAAATTTAAAAAGTCGTCTCTGAGTTTCTGTTGGATGAAGTTTAGCTTTGATGCTGCTCTGCTCACCAGGAATTTGCTTTAAGTCAATTTTCAAACAGATTTTCTGTGCTTTTACTTTTTAAACTCTCTTTTTTGGACTGAACTCAGCTCAGTTTTAAAATGCCATCTCAGTCCCTCTGTTGGATGATGGAGTTTCATCTTAAAGCTGCTCTGAAGGCTTGAATTTGGTTTTAAAAGTCTTATATTTTAACCATGTTTTATTTTGTTTTTCTTCAAACTGCGTTTTCAAGACAGAAATCACAGCTCAGCTTTGTTGAGAATTAAAAAGAGGAATAACTTGATTTAGCTCTTTAATTAATTCTTCTTTGTCCCAAATTCTTGTGTCTGTTAAATGTGCAGAGAGAAAAGAGCAATCATACGACGTCAGACTTCAGATATCCAGAGTTTTATCCAGAGAAAATCAATGCAAGAAGAATGTTACAATAATCATCTCACCTAGATCATCAAAAGTCCAAGACATGACAAAACAGAAACAATTAACTGAGTAAAAAGGGAAACAGAAACAAACAAAAGATGCATCTTTTGGGAAACTCTCACTCAGCACAAAGAGATTCGGACTTCAGCTCTAAAACAAACCATTTTATAAGAATGTGTATTCTCCTCATTTAAATATATGCATTAGGAGGTGTGTGTTTTCCTTTGTGTGGGCTGTCTTAATGTTAATTCTATTACCTCTGAGACCCACTGAACCACCCAGCTCTTCTCGTACCAGCCTCCTTTAGGCGATTTGATTTATAGCGTGGGTCTGGAACGTTATCTCTGCCTCAAAATGATTCAACAAGAAACCAGTTTGTATTTTTTAACCAAGCTTGCACAAAATGTAATGCTTAATAATGACTATAAGTTGGATCTAAAACTAATTAAAAACATGCTTTTTAATGCTTAAAGAAATATATTAATATGTCTGATTATATGTTGTAACAGACTTCTATAGTTTTTAATGGTTGCCTGAACTATTCAACCCTGAGTAAAGAATTTATTGCCCTGATAGCCAATACACTCCCTGTCTGAAATGTTCCTTAGGGAGTATAAGACTGCTGTCTGATTAGGAATTTATGTAAGTTCAGAGAGTCACCAGCTGTCCCAGTCTGGATCTGTATCTAAGTTTATCTTAATGTAAACGTTAACTTATGTACTATTGTGCTACTTTAAAATTCTTTCAACAGCTTCTAACTTCATCGCTGAGATCCTACTAGGGGGCAGAAATATTAACACTGTTCTGAACATCAGAAATGGGCTTTAGAAGAACCCAGAATGCATTGCATGGTGGGGCTTCATATTTCAGCTTCTAGTTTGGCTGTTTTTGCTGCAATCCCTAAAAACCCATATAGTGTTGATTAGCAGGAGCTCCTCTGTCAAACTAGATGTTTTAGAAGGAGCTAAAACATTTAGGAAATCTGCACCATGAGTCACAATGAGGTGTTCAGAGTTGAACTCTTGCCTGCTAAGATGGATCCTACTGTGGCAGCTTTGGGTAAGTCTCTTCACTTTGTGAATGTGGTCAGGACCTTTTGCTGTTACTGAGCTTTCTAGGGGTCTTGCGGTGTATGATGGCACTAGAATTGCTCTTTCCTCTCATTTCAGGGGTGGTGGTTTGAATCCCAGTAAGTGTTTGGAGACCTTAAAGGCAGCAGCTTGCTGCAGCTGGTCCAGGTTCTTCTTCCCTTGGAGGATGATTGGGTAGCAACACCTTGCTATCTACTGGTGTGCAGTTCACTCTGCACTGGGAAGCAAAGGTGAGTCAGTAAACTTACAGACTGCCAGGCTTCAACGCAGACCAGTGGAGAATCAACGAGAACTCTTCTGCTTCCTGGGCATGCTGGTTCCACCTTGCGGTGTTAACGGACAGTGTGTTTTTTAAACCAGGGGCGCGGTACGTATCAGCCTTCCCAGGTTCCGCCTATAGGAACAGCACGTGGGAAAGGTGACTCCAGGACTCGGGAGTCTTAAATGCAGTCCAGTCTTCTAGAGGAATAGCCTCACACACACACAGCAACATGCAATCCAGCTGGTATTCTCTATTCAGTCCTACAGCTTAGAAATGCAGAAGGATTTTAATTTCAGAAAATCTTCAGCTTAAAGGCAATACTGTTAACTTCCTATGATCTGAGCTCTAGCATAACATCTAATATTATTGCAGGGTTAGTTCCAAATCAGCTGAAATAAAAATCTTTTGACATG